TACGTGCTTCGATATCCTAAGTACCCGAGATACAAAATATCAAACAATCATGGGCCATTTTTTGTTCTGTTTTTAAAATTCGAGAAGATAAAAAAAAATCGAAATCCGTACATTCACACTAAAACGTATGGCATAAATTTAAGATAATATAAGATATTATATATGAGAAAATTTTCGCATCAAATAATACTATTCATTTTTGCCTTGAAAAATATTCAGTAAACAATATTAATTAAAAGTCGCTTCACTTTATGATCTACATTACAGGGTGGTCCAAACCCAGGCCCGCGGGCTACATGTGTCCCGCAGCTGCATTATCTGGGGCCCGCGTCGGAATCGGAGAGTAATCAAAAAATCGCATTTAGTGTTCTTTCGTCATAAACTTAACCAGAAAAGTCTTTTGATATATTGTTACATCACTAATGTCACTGAATTGACTAGTGTTATGGCACGTTTCCCGGTACACCTGTAGTATGCGTACCAAGATGGCGGACAACGGAACGTGGTATGTGTACCAGGTTAGATAGAGGCCATATTTGTATTTCAATTTTCCTTATTTTAGTTATATTATGACATCGGGGACTGGCTATTTGTACGTGAAATTATGGCTCGACCCCAACCTGGTACACATACTACGTTCCAGTGGACGCCATCTTGGTTCACATACTACGCGAGTACCCTTTTCCGTCGAAATCTTACACTAAGTGTAGATATAGGAAGCCCTATGCAGGTTTTAGACAGTTTTTTGCGTGTTTCAGCTTGATAAATGACAAATACTGATCAATGTGTTTGCACAATAAAAGTGTTTGTGTTGCATTGCACTGTTTACCTCTCTTTGACACTATTTGTGGCTCGCGAACAATGCCAAAATAATTTTGTGACCCCGGAGTCAACAACCTTGAACCATCCTGATCTACAAAGTCGCTATGTATGCTTCTTTGCCTCAAAAATTTAGCTGCATCTGCATAATGGATAAACAGTATAACAGAGACGACGAAGTTGTAAGGAGCCGCATAAAATACAAAGTAGGCGTATGTATTTTAAAATAACAACATCAATAAAATTCAGGGTAAAACTGATTTGACGCTAAACTTGACATTGGCTTTGACTTTTAATTCTGAAGTCTGAAAAAGCGATCCGCAATATATTTCAATTGGGAAATACTTCTCTTTCCAATCACATTGAAACGCCCGATTATATTTATAAGGAGTGTGAGGTTTTTTGAATGTGTGCTTGACATTTTGTCTTGATAAACTAACAGATTGATATTTTGTTTGAAAAATACCCAAACTGCACAGTGCACGGGATAGCCTGTTTGTGATTACCGAAAACAATGAATTCAGCGTACTGAAACGCAGGCTAAACATTGTGGGGAAAACACTATGACATCATAATAAAAGGTTGGAAAGTTGCACTCAAAGCGACCTATCAGCTTTGATGGCATCAATTCAACTACTGGGGTTCAGTCTCTCAATTTCAAGTTCTTGATTAATTTTCAATGAAAATGATTAATTCTCAAAGATAATAGGAGCCACAGGAAGAATAGTTGAGAGCCACGGTTGAGAATTACTGCTTTAGGATCATAAAAGCAGTTTAGAACGGCTATATTATAATTGGTCAATAGACATGAAATAACGAAAATATACCAGTAAAATCATGTACAATTCACGAGACAGATTTACGGTGCATGCACGATAGTCAGTTTACGACATGTCCATGTCCCTAGCTTCCGTGTATTTTCATGTACAAATAAACCAATATATTTTTGAGATAAAAAGGTGTAATAGATAAAAGCATATTGACATAGAAGTGAAAAAGCATTCATTTCAGATTAAATCTCGAAAAACCTCATAAAGTTATCAAATCGCCAGCACACTCTCTCCCCCTTTTCGTTCAATACATTTTGAAAATATGAGTGCATCCATCTATACTGACTACTAGATTTGTCTGAGGCAATTATGTTGAAAAACCATAGAAAAAAGACCGTAACCTTCATGACAAATCCTAGCACAATAGTATTAAAGTTTAAGATTATAACAGGATTTTGAATTTATACAAATCAATGGCAATAAAATTTAACGAGAGGGTAAGATTGCTGTTGGACAAGTGAGATCAATTATTTAATCCCCAGCGTGACAGATAAGAGCGGATTTTAAATAATTATGTGAACTCGATAACCGCGAAAATTTGACGATATATTGTATCCTCTTATCTAAATATATATATACTCTTTGAATATTTCTATCGAAAATGACAAAACGATTACAATATGCTCAATTTAATTTTTTCAACTCTACTTTGGCTTAGTCTACGGAAAACTCATCCGATTTTGTAATTTCTGGTCGATCCAATGAACCCGGATGATGCACTCTATCTGCAAATGCTGTAGTGTACATGAAGATAATTTCAAGTGCCTGAATAACATGAGCAGTACAAGTATTGAAAAAATTTAAATAGCACAGCTTCAATTTTTGCTTACGTTGGCGTGTTTTATAATCGGTGGCAATTTCTGCAGCGCAAAACTTAATGTTTTTAAAATGATAATATATTATAAATGGTTGCAAATTCATATTATCCATACGCAGTTCGATATATTATGCAAGTACTCAACGGTGATGTCTTGAGCAAGGTGTAACGTTTTGACGAGATTTGAGAAAAACACCTCCGCCGCGTTTTTAAAAAACAAATCAGTAATTATCCATTTGGGGTTAGGAATGATTTAAAAATTTGAATTGACGAACATGAAGAAAACAATTTAAATGAGTAAGATGCATCAGATTCACAACTACCTACTGACGAAAACATGGTGAAGTACGATTTCAATAGTATCCAGGACGCCTACGTAATCAATTTTTCAGAGGGGAAGAATGACGTCATATATTTTTACTTTGTATACAATTGCCCTATTGTTACGTTATAATGCTAGTCTAGCGCATGGTGTACTATTATTGAAGCTTCATTCATGGCTGCCCTTTTGTGCTGTTCGACATGTTTCATTGTTCTTAGTTATGTTTTACTGCCGAGTTTTAAGTTGCTTAAAGTGGTGGTTTAAATACAACAACGGTATTGTTTTAATGTAATATAATAACATTCGCATGTAATTAAGAGACGCTTATTCAAAGTATATATGTAAGTTTGTTTACTTTAGTTGCATCCAACTTCTCACTTTTTTTGTTGCAATTTACTTTTTCATATTTCTTACCCATATATATTTTTGTACATTAAAAAGAATTTTATCAGAAAAATGATTTACCCAACAATTCTAAGATTTTATCTTCCTCCGATAATTTCAAAGTAGGATTTGTCAATTATTACTTAAAGGGAAATATTCTAATCTATACCATATTGAGGCACTCTGCCTAGATCCCAGTCAGCATTAAAAGCTATCGAATGCTCGTTGCAAAGGTTCGTATTCCGGTTAATACCACCCACAGTTGGTTATTAGCTTAGCAAATTCTTTTCTATGGCTTAAATCCCTGAACTGCATTGTGTATGATATTTAATAACCTGTAAAGCGTATTAAATTGAGTCGCATGCGCGGATGACACAGCTTAATACTTATGCCTCGACTGAAACTTAATATGCAGCAACGTTTGGATCTTGAAAAAACCCTGAAAATGAAATTGCCTCGAGCTGTTGATCGAAAATGCATTTGGAGTGAATTATTTTCGTCCGTTTGGCGCACCGTCATCTTTGCAAAAATATGCTGTGACGGGTCAGCATCCTATACGCGGACTATAAAACGTTGAGTTGATCTTTTTGCGCTTCCTTTGGCGAAAAAACTAGTGAGGGTTTTTCTGTCGTATAAAATCACGAAAATTAGTTTTAAACTGTTGTGATTTATAAATAGGATTATAGAAAATATATGAAGTTTTTGTTATATTCTGAATAACAACTATGTAACAACGGCCGAGGTGGAAATTGTTGCGTTATGCGTGGAAATAATTGTATCACTTTTTCACGTTTTGTACCACGTGGAAATCCTGGGTGTTTAGGATTACTTAATATTACGATTTCATATGTTCTATTGGGATCATTATACCTGAGTTTCAAATTGACGTAAAGGTTGATAAAACGTTATATGAAGGCGACCACCTTGGGTGGAATTGATACCTTTTTTTAGGCTAAAAGACTAAACAATTGAATGAAAAACTATTAATAACGTGGCGATGATCTGCAATTATTGTGAAAAATTTACGAAGTCTCTTCGAAAAGTGTCGATATACCGTACAATATGATTGTTTGATCTGCGAGCCACTGAAACTATCAAAATTGTAACATGGTCCACATGACGACGTGTTTAATGGCAACCGCGTGAACATGCTTTTGCGCATGCGCGAAACACTGACAAACATCGAGCCATCATATTCTCTCTTCGTTTTATTTAGCCGAGAATTCGCGTGGTTCGCATTTTCAGTCAGTACAGTGCGTCCTTGTACTCAGTTCAGTGTTTGTGAGATAAATAGCTATGAAATTTACCGTTTTAATTTGTTATAAGTATTCGAATCAGTTATATTAGATGGTGTTACATTGAATACTGTTTTTTTGATGATATTGGAGTTTTTTTTGCTGTACCTTGTGTAAATGTAAGACCAACACGCCTTCAAAATGGCCTGTTTTGTCGTTGATCGCAGATATCGTTGGATTCTCTCGTTTGTTTTACTCGTTCTCAGTTCTCTCTTAGCAGAGACTCGTTTTCTTTTCTCTCTCTTTTATTTGCAAGAGGAAGCGACCGTCTGAAATTTCCCATTTCGCGCGGTTGTTAGATGTGTTTACCTTTGATATTCTAATGTATGAATTTTCGCTTATAATTTTAATTTTATTTGATGGGAATGATTAGCGCATTACATGATGATAATTACACATGCGTTCTCGACATCTGCTTTTTTATTTTGATCGATTAAAAACACGCAATTAAACATGAAAATTTCAGAGTGAACACTGTCGTTAATCTCGTGCTGTTCAAGCATGGTATCGAGTTTCCACCCAACCTGCTATTCCAGCCTGACTTGGTTTTGTGCGGATAATACAGTTAATATCACCATTTTCCTCCTGTTTTAAGCTGATACAATTGATTTTTATCCATAATGAACCTGGTGAAAGGCTCACAAAATATCAGCAAAAAAAGAACATTTGAGGTGGACTTGATTTGTTAAATACTTACTGATAAGTGGGATTGAATAATAATGATAGCGTGTTAATTTGATCAGGTTGACGAAATGCCTCAAAACGGTAATCGTGTGATTGACAAATCAGGTCTTGATGATCGAATACCATTTACAACAGAACCCAGTGATGAATTGAAGAACGAGGAATTCGTAGATGGTTTAGAGTGGAAGGACGGTATTGGTACATTACCAGGCTGTGATGATTTGAAGGTAACGTTACCGAGAGAAATTTTGCAGTAGAAAAATGTTCATCATTAAACATGGCTTGTAAATATAGCTCGCGTCGCTAGTTGTATTAAAACTAAGAAGCGATATACTATCTTTCTGCCTACACCATGTTTCATATTTATTAAAATTTTTTATTTACTGCATCAGTTTCGAAAAAACGAATTCGGCGTTGTGGAGTTGATAACCGACGACCAAGTGGTAGATATGAATGGGACAAACTATGATGACGTCAGAGATACTACGCTTCAAGATGGCTCCCAATTACCAGATGTAAGTTCGGCATAATTGAATATTTAGAACAAAAGAATTACTTACATGCCAGCTACATTTTGTGTTTTGCAGATTTGTCGAAAACAGATATTGGGATCAGACATGCTAAATCTTTCAACGGATTCAAAAAAATCGGAAGGTAATTTAAAACTTTGAATATCTAGGCATAGAATTTTGACGACAAATCGAAAACATACTAGCTTGGCGCTCGATATTGACATTTGTATGACTAAATATATAAACTATGAATTTGAAAATAAAATTAAGTCTTAGAGTAATTATTAAAGGCAGTTAAAATTAGGACGGAATTGTCATGCAGATGGATCGAACATAGAGATAGTCAGCGTCAGGTCTGAAGCGACCATGATGAAATGCTCCGTCTGTGGACAAACGGGAACTCACAAGACCTTTTACGGTAGATTTTGTAGCAGAAAATGCGTTGCAAAAAATGCGAATAGTTACAGAGCTTCAAATCAACATTTGCAAGCAGGTGAGTGTTTATTCCTTACTTCACGCACATACATTGACTTATATAGGTCTTATATATGATATTTTTCATTATAGCTATGAAACAACCATCCAAGTCAATTCCAACTTCAGGGGCATCTGTTGTTCACAGCAACAATAACAACGAAAATGATTTGAAGATTAGGATTCGCCTGTCATCATCATCACCTCCCACAGAAAACCACAGTTCGTATAATAAAAAGAAACAAATAGAAGCGACGATTCAAACTCAGGGTAATTAATTTTAGTAAGTTTATTGCATTACTTTGGGGTATAGAAATAGCGGAAACGAAAAATGAATCATTTGTCAATATGCAACTCTTAATATTATTTGTTAATGCAGCTCGTAATAGCTTGCTAAACCGACGTGATAATGGAATTACTGCTTCAACCCGATAGACCAGCGACTACGACTGGCTGTTGTCCAGATATCGGCAACTTTTTTTCAACCTGTGGACCGATTGAAATCTGAAATTAATATACGACTGGAATTCAACAAAACACAAATGATGTAATTAGCAAAATAAATTTTTTATAACTCGTACTTATTTAGCAATCAAACCGTGCGTTTGATCTGCCATGGCCCATAACGTGGCGCTTCCGCCTTGGAATTAGGGATTGCAATGACGCCCGAAATTAGTCTCGCACATCACGTCTATTTCGTGGTTTCTAATCACTAGGAAGAGGATGTTGACCAATCTCCAAAAACTCAGGAGGATAGATGTTTGTTTTGTAATTTCACAAACTAATAATTTCAATCTGCATCATTTAATCGGTCAAGTTTCAGTTCTAAATTGACCTTCTACTGCGGATTTTCTCTCATTCATAGCTTCTCGGACCCATTTTCTATAGTATTGCTTTTTACTCAACTTGCTAATCGGATCTAGCTCCATAACGGATCTGTTGAATTAGTTGGCCATTCAATGACGATAAATTAGCATTGTTACCGTGACCTTGTTAATTGCTTGCATTGCGCATTTGCATTATTTCATCACAAGATGTTAAGTTTCTTTTTCATACAAAGCCCCGCAGAAGATGAGTATAGCTTTAACCATAATATACCACAGAATTTCTCATAAACAACGAATGTAGAAAATACTGTTAATTCAGCCAACGAAATTCAAAATTAGGTGATACAGCAGTATCCACAAAGCGTAAGAACCCGCCGTTCATTGGATATGTTTGTAGGCTGACTGCTGCTCAAGTTTGGTTGCAGGGAACTGGCGTAACTGTGTTTTCGTTCTAACGTGAAGAAATTTCGCTCCAGCATAAACGATACTGTTGGAGAGAATAAATGGGTTCTGTGGCAGAATTAGTGTCAAATTCATTTTCTAGCTATGTGGACTTTTTAGAAAAGATGAACATTGTTGGAACATTCTGTTATTCATCGGAACTACGTAAAATTTCTGGCTCAGGCTGATGCAAGAGAAACGGGAGCCTTATCTTCACAAATCAAACACCGACGACAATCTTGTTCTCGTTATCGACAACATTTTATTGTTTTTCTCATTCGTATTTTGCAGGAATGACTGAACGCCGAAAGAATTCCTTCATCTGGTCGGAGTACATCATGGAAAATGGATCAGTCATGGCACCCGCGTCTGCCTTTCAATCTCTGACAAAAAAAAATCCGTTCCCCGGAACTAATCAGTTCAAACTAGGGATGGCTTTGGAAGGAATCGATCCAATTCATCAAACGTTAATCTGCCCACTTACAGTCACAGCGGTACGTTACTTGTTTATTTATATTCACCTCTGTGAGACTGGGTGGCCAAACAACAGGTTGTCAACATTTTTCGATTATTGATTCCTCACAAAACTTAGCAACGCGCACACGTAACTATCTGAATCAATACTTCCACCAATGCAGAAAATTAGTTAGTCTGACCTTACCAACATAATTACTTCTCAGCGAGACTATCGGTAATGGCTAATCAGAATAATTAAAGTTTTGGGTTATGCCCCTTTGTGCTTTTAAAATGAACGTATAGGCAACAGCAATTGTTTATGCTTGTTAAACTTTCAGTTTCTTGGTACTTGCCTTCGAATTCGCGGTGCAATAAAAATATTTTTTAATAAAATTCAATTCTAGGTGAAGGGCTTTAGACTCAGACTGCATTTTTGTGGATATAGCGAAAGTTATGATTTTTGGGTCAACGCCGATAGTACTTTGATCTTTCCTTGTGGATTTTGCGAACAGACTGGTCGAAAACTGGAACCGCCAAAAGGTAAGCATAACTGTTGTCATGTTTTCGTGGTTTCACTTATATTTATTTGCAATAAAAATATTTTATACAGGTCATTTGTCTGAAAACTTCGTCTGGGAGAAATACTTGAAAAAATTCAGACTTTACGCGGCACCTGACGTCATATTTTCCGTCATCAGTGAGGTAAATATTGACTTATTATTTGTGCGGTTGGAACCAAGTCAGCGACTTCCGAATAAAATTTTCAATAAATTTTTTTTTGTTATATTGAGCATCATTGAGTCCTTTTCATCACGGCACTGATCACTATATTAGGATACTTTTCAGGAAAAAGATAGCTCATTCAAACCAGAAGAAAAACTCGAAGCGGTCGACAAACACAATCCTGATTTGGTATGTGTTGCCACAGTGAGCGATGTGATTGGGGAAAACATATTAATACATTTTGACGGATGGACACATGATTTCGATTACTGGTGCACTGCATCATCTTGCCTTATTCATCCAGTTGGTTGGTGCGAGAAGGAAGAAAAAGTTTTGACACCACCAGAGGGATATCTCCACGGCAACTTTTCGTGGAAAAAATACATAGAAGAATGTGGTGCATCTGCTGCAAATGCTGGATCATTTCATAAAAGAGAAAAACATGGGCTAAGAACAGGTAAAAGTATAAAGATAATTTACCTTTTACATGTTAGAAACTTGTAAATTAATGTATATTTTCTTTAGGAATGAAGTTAGAAGTTGTTGATCCAAGAAATCCTATTCTTATTCGCGTTGCTACCATAATTGATATGAGCGAATTTAGAATCAAGGTAAGTGAGATAAAATTATTTTTTGTCGAATATTTCTTCGTTTACTATTCAATTTAATTTTAAACGTAGATTCATTTTGATGGATGGAACGATGTTTACGACTTTTGGACAGATTTGGATTCGCCTGATATTCATCCTGCTGGTTGGTGTGCCAAGACTAGTTATCCATTGCAGCCTCCTCTAACGGAAAGGGATTTCAAGAAAGTTCCAGGGTAATTTTCTTGTAGTAAAGATGTTCAAATATAATATCCTTTACAAATATTTTTAGATTGTCAATTCTGAAGTCGAACCTTATTCCAATATCAAAGTTCTAAAACTAATACGACGCAATACATGTTGATGAAAACAGTTTATGAGTTTTTGTTGTCATTATTGAGGTATAAGCCCATAAGTATGCAAATTAGCCTTTATGGACACTGATTGCCATGGTTGATAACCTACGGTTTGCTAATAATTTATGTTTATTTGGTATAATGCTCAGTACTTTCATTTGAAGTACTTTATTGCACTAGAATGATTTACAAATATTTTGTTATTTCAGACAAGGCGGTTGTCCAATACAAGGATGTATCGGCGTTGGTCATATCAGGGGCTCGAAGTTTGCTGGTCATCACAGTGAATTCGGATGTCCATACTCGCAACAAAATCTCCATAAACAACTATTACATGTAAGTTAGCTGTACGATTTTACCAGTCGCCCAATGTCGCATATTTTTATTATAGAATCCTACTTATTGCCACATAAATTACTCATCTATCCAATTAAAGACTCCAGCTGCACACTAACACAAAAGTATTTTTGTAACATTTCGTCCGACTTCCTCAGACAAGCAGTTTACAACATTTTGTTACTGCTTGTCTGAGGAAATCTGACTTCGGTCGGACGAAACGTTACAGAAATACATTTGTGTTAGTGTGCAGCTGGACTCTTTAATTGGATAGAATAGTAATGTTTATTCCAGCTACAGCATCCTTGCAGGCAGTATACGCATGCGGATCCACTAGCATAAAGGCATAGAGGAAAGATGGGGAGTTAGTCTCGCTCAGCCCAATTCATAAATTACTCAGTTTGGAATTTTACCAATTTTTCTCAACTTGAGAACTGGAGAAATTTTATGACTTGGGAGTAAATGGAGTTGAAACAGCTTGTTGATTTCTGTAAACGATATACTGACTAGACCGAAATAAGGCCTCAATTCAACATCCTAGAAGACTCCAAATCAATTGGGAGTCGATACCATCAAATTGTTTATGCTCTGTTTCGATATTTTCAGGACAGATTAACAAGATCACGACTTTCTACCAATACAAGAGAGGACATTCCGCGTAATAAAAGGTGAATGATCAATTATCAGTAACACCGTAGCAGCTAGCATAGCTCCAAGAAAAAGATTTTTCTTGCCTACGACTTCGTTCGGATAAGAATAGTGTAATATTAATAAAAAAATATTTACAGTTTTCTACACCTTTTCTCCGAATAAGGCTCTGAAAAATTAGCCGCTGGTGAGTACTATGGTTTTGGAAGAACCGGACTATTTTTTTATGGTTTGAAATTTTATTACATCTATCTCTATATTTACGTGACATCTGCGTTACATTTCCTTGTGGATTATTCCAGCAACTATCTTATAATTTTGCTACAGTGGTTCGGATGTAGAAGCAACCAACAACGATGATATAAGACCTGCAAAAATCAGGAGAACAAGAAAATCGTTAATATCCGAAAGAGAAGGTAAAAAAATTGTCCTCAATTTGTTATATCGTTTTGAGGGAAATTTGAATTTTGAATACTAACCGAAAATAAAATCATGAATTTTTTTTCAATTTAAATATTACAATTAATTGTTTAATAATTTGTCTAGAAATAAAGTTTTGTAGGTTTTGACCATTCGCAACCTCAATATTCGAGACTGCAACAATCCAATATCAGTATCGAATATATTGATTAATTTCTATTTCAATCGTCTACAAAACGACAACTGTGTATGTATTGTATTTATAGCAACGCCGACAAAGCCTGAAACTACAACTTTGGTGTCAAGCAGGGAATTGGATAATTTGATTGACGGTAACTTTATATATATTCTACCATCTGTCCAAAAGTATACCTTTTGTATAACGTTTTCAATTCTAATTTCAGACCAAGGGAAAAGTCATTTCTCAACGACGAATCATTCGGTCTTCATTTCTGCTCTGTCATCATTTCCTAATTATGATTTGCCACTGTGCTGGGACCAACAATCGAAAATTTTACCAGGTATGTTGAATTCTCGTACCCTTGCTTTCGCGGGTCTCGGCCTGTAATTAAAAATGCGTGCCCTGCATTTACTACGGATGCTTCAACCTCTTCTTGTTAATATTTTTCAGGTGTCAAAGGTTTAACTGTGAATGAGATGTCAAAATGGTCGATATCTGAGGTAGTTAAGTTTATTACTGACCTCACTGGTCGTTCAGAGTACGGAAATATTTTTAAAGCTGAGGAAATTGACGGAGAAGCCATGTTACTTTTAACTCAAACTGACATTGCCAAAGTTCTTAACATAAAATTGGGCCCGGCCGTGAAAATCTACAATGCAATACTGCTTGTCAAAGCGGCTGAACATTTACCAGTTTGATGACTATCAGAGGAAGATGTCAATTCTTTCATAATACCTTTTCTAGTTGGCCTTTTGTTTCTTCGCGTACCGGTATCTTGCTCCATTGCATTGGTTTCTTTTTCATAAAAGTTCTTCCTCAGAACCGGTTCGTAGTTTTAGCAAGCTATGGAGATCTTTTATCCGAACAGTATTGCAGCATCGTCAAAATAATGGCTTGCAGACTAAAGTAATCGACCTTGTCATAAGTGCGTAGATGTTGTAGCCTAGCTTGGTGTTTTTGCCATCTGATTGAAATTTCGTATGTCATATCAGATTGAATCATCATTTGAAAACATTCTTGAAACGGTGACGCTATTTCCGAGGCTTCAAGGGGACTTTGTTGCCCTGCATTTGACACGATATGAAATATGCCAAGTTTACACGAAATTATACAGCCAAGAAATACTAAAATATAGCCTCGATCAACAGCGAATATTTAAATTTGTCGCGGTTATGAACAGGACTTAGATTAATTACCAATTTGAATGGAAGGCTAATTCGCGAACAAGTGCAGTTTTAAACCGACCCACGGAGCAAAACTGCAGCCAACAAATATTTATCTTGGTTAAGGGATGGAAAACGATGGTCGTGCAGGTAAGCTACAAGCCTAAAAAGTAAAAATGTAACGACGGTCACTAAATTCGAAAATAAGGATGAATATTTGCTGTGCCGCACTGATTGAAGGTAATCCAACCGGTGATGGGATTTGCGTAATCGGTAATTAAGATTTTAATTTGTGGAATGTGCGAAGGTACTGTCGGGGATTATGAGAGGAATTAAAATATCAATAGAAGAAATTCCGTTCCCACTTCGTAACCTTTTAGCTAGATCCAGCTTAATATAGATTATGCTCTCTGCACAGCCTACCGGAAACCGTTAAGTCATTTCCGAATGCATCACTCATGGATGAACTTGATATTGTAAGCAACTTACGCTGTCTCTGCTTCGCACAAGTCGACTCTGTCAGCTCAAGACTTGCAAACAAACAAACTTTTGCTTTTTGTTGGTTTCGCAGCTATCTTCATAAAAATTAGATAAAATGTTTATAATTGAAATTTGGAAAATATAGACAAATATTGAAAAGCTTCACAATTTTGAGATCGGTAACGTGTACAAATACGGAAAAATATTTGCAAATTGAGCCGATTTTTACACCTATGCATTGAACAAAATACAGCCAATATGATATAAAGATACAGCCAACTCAATATGCACGCACAGTCATTATAGGGATATGCCTGCTTATCTGGTCCAAGTACGATACTTTGGATCTTTTTAAACACGAAGTGGACCCATGGATCGTTTTGTTATAATTGGACACGAAATGTACATATGGATCGGTGTGTTATTATGTTGTTGGCGTTTTTCTTCTTATCGCTGTGAAAAAATCCCTTTCCTCGTTAGATGCTGGACTAGTTACCTTGAAATTTTCAGTGGTTAAAGATTGCATTTTTCGCTAGAAGACTAATACTTTTATTTATTCATATTTTTTTATGAATTCTATGAGATATAATATTTCATCTAAAATTTCACTATATATATTATTTTTCATTATTAGGAACACGGTTTTTAATTCGCCAATCGAACATCGCCGCCCTATAGGGTGGTACACGTAGCCGCTGGTCGGCTACAACTGGCTAACTAATCCCATACCCAATATGGGCTGATATCCGAACGAGAGGCTGTGGTTCGTCATACGATCAAGCACCAAAATCAGTTTCTGAATTACTGCTAATGAAATCACTTGATGAGAAAGAAATGATTGCTGGTGCGTCCGTAATGTAGGGCATAGGTTCTCAAAGTGCTCCGTACGGAGCCCCAGGGCTCCGCGAGAGAAACCCAGGGGCTCCGCGAGCTATTCGATGACTTTTCACAATAATGACTTGGCTAATTTTGTAACTGCTTAAAGAAGCAATAACAGCTTTGATAAAATTTGACAACAATATAGCCTCGAAAAATGGCAAAGATGCGGAATTAAAAAATGACATTATTTATAAGCTGGAGCGCAGCCAGGATTCTTAAGAGGTGGGGATTTGAATCGGAAATTTCCGCGCAACATTCTTTGCGATTATAAAAAAACGGATAACGAGATTTCTGTTGCGTAAAATATTCAATGCATGGCCGTTAAAGTGTCTTGTCGTAATATTTCAATTGTACAATAGTTACTCACGTTTCATTCGAGATTACTATCAGGATTACTAAAAAGAAAGAATACTATTCTAAAATAACATAAAATACGTGATAAACTGCCAACTATAAATAAATTGGAGTCGTCTTTTTGCGATATTGGAATTTGTCAAACTTGATTTGTTCTTTTGCACTTGAGATTATAATTAAGCAAGATATCGCCGTTCAAAAACTCACAAGATCTGGGCAAAATACGAACGAATAAAATTTATTTTAATGCATGCGGCTCCGTCGGTAGAATAAAAAAAGATAAATCGCGCACACAATTGACTGTGTTTCGATTTCGCAGTTACTATACGATGAATAACCGAAGAAAACCTAACATAACACCAAATTTTGTGATTTACAATGCCTATAAAAGCGTTTTTAATCTGACGTGAGTCTGCTAAAACCAAACATATAGTGTGATCTTTTATTTTAAGTTTTAATATTTTAGAATGCCGTTTTTCAATCAAGAAATTTGGGTTGCGGATTTACCTCTTTATTATTAATTATTATTTTTAGCACTTCGTCGCCGATGACTATATGGTAACATGTTTTTCACATAAAACTCATAATTCCCCACGAGAACAAAAAAGCAATTATCGTCGTCATTGTGGAACAATACATGTATATATATGCCAAAGAAAATTTTTGATTTAGGGAGAATAAACACCGGCGTAAAGATGTTTAAAAACATGCCATGCTGACGAAAACTATCGGTGATTGTGACCAAATGCAATCGCGCACGTTATTAGCGGCCTTCCGAAAATGTCAAAAGGGAAAAGATTCGACCTCTAGTTTAATATGTTTGTCAAGTGTCAAATTTACAGCTTTAGTAAGAGTATATATAATTTATCTTTAAAATTGAGATTTATTTATGACTTGCATTAACCCTATTAAAAAAGGTTCAGCATTTAAATTAAGTAAAGTACGTTTAACTTGCTCAGGAATATTAATCTGAAAGTAACAATTTTAACATTTATTTTGGGGCTCCCTGAATAATAGTCAACCTTTTCAAGGGCTCCGCAACACCAAAAGTTTGAGAACCCCTGATGTAGGGTACATGTGGTTACTTTATCACTTGAAAAGCTAAAATTTTGGAAAGCTCGAAATACATACATTTATAAAGGAAGAGCGCTATATAAATAAATATATAGTTTATGGATTTCACAGTTGTTTGTTGACTAGCAGGTTTTGCTATTTGTGATGATGTTAATCATTATTCTTTTCATCACGTTTTCAGTACAAAAGCACGAAGTCCTTTCTATGCAACAATTTGGTTACCGGAAAAACTAGATTTGTGATTCGAATAAAAAATAAAATTAGAGGAGTGAAAAGGAAGATTGATTGCCTTTCAATTTTTGAACTGCTTCGGCACCCAAAATCTCTTCAGCTGGAGATAAGATATACGGCTTTACTATCTCTTCCCCAATTGTGTACGGTTTTCTTGTTTTAGCTATTTGAAGAGAAATTAGATATGATGCACAAAGAAGAGATTTTTCTGAAGTGTCATATTTTTTAGTTGCTTCTTTTGATTGCCCATGTCGATGAGAAGTCGTTCAATAAACATAGAGGCAGCAGTGATTGTTCACTACCAGGAGCTACAGTAAAAGCAAGTTTCATGTATTTTTCATCGTATTGTCTTACAAATTCACACTTTTTCTTCTTGTGACAGTCAACATATCTGGGCACGACCTTTTCTTGGCTCGTTTCACATTTATATTATCTGTACCTGCTTCATCTCCTCTTGAGAATTATCTGATCCAGAAGAAGACTTATCCTCATTGTCATATTAATCCCGCTGCAGTTGATCGACGCCTCAAACAAAATCAATTTGCATTACAATGACAAGGTCGTCGGTAACTTGGCACCAGGCTTGAAGTCATGCTGTGCATCACCTGGAAAAGATCTCTGCGGCCCATGCTTCTGTTGCGCGTCTCGTGACGACCTGCAGGGTCGCAACAAGTTCATAGCTTACTGGATGTCAAGGCTAAGCCGTGGAATATTATACTGTTTTTGGCTGTTTTCTTTTGGCTTCGGTTATAAACAAAGAAATATTGATAACCTTTTATTTGGATGATCATATTTAGCATCAAAAATACGCGCGCCGATTTTTACGTTTCTGAATATTGCGCGATTCGACGGAGCGCTTTCACGATGAATTGGAACCAGTAAAGCAAAAAGTGTGAAAAGCAAAACGACGAAATCTCTCGCGGACCGGCGGTTGGGATCCACTGGTTTAATCGATGTTTTCACCAGATCTTGCATGAGGCTAATCTGAATTTATTTTTAACATGGAGTGTTTAATTATTTTTATCCAAGTTTTGTTATTTTGATTTGTTCCAATTTTACATGACGTGTTCGTAACTTGTATTTTTTTAAAGTTTCCCTTAGTGACTCGTTTTTAATCTTTGTATCGCGACAATCTATTAATTGCAATGATATCTGGTATGCAAAAATGTAATGATTTATGTTTAAGTGTATTTATAATTTCTCGCAAGACGAAACAAAGTTATTGTCTATAGTCTATACTCTATATATCAATGGTTGTCAACCAGAGTTCCGCCAGTACATACTAGGAAATATGCAAGTTTATATTCAAATACCTTATTAGATTTGTCTATATTATTATGAGGATTTTTACACTTCAGATATCGTTTTGTTTCGTTGGTATTAGGTTTGCTGTTATATATATTTATAGTTCATACAATTCTTCTGAAAGCTTTTATTTTACTATGATAAAATCATTAGTGACCCTGATCAAACTATTGCGCAGGGGTTTGAAAGCAGCGCTTGGGTCTGGAGACACATCCAGTAAATCCAAATTAGACCCATATTTCCTGTAATAACCCATTCCCAGGCGACAATCGCTCTCAAGGAGTATTCACGTTTCTAACTGGGTTAACCAATAATTCTAACTTCAGAATTGAAGAGAGTGTAATAATATTACTACCGTATTATTAGACAGATGACCTGCTGAAGGAGTCTGTATATTGCCAAAGTATCTGTTCTTTTAGAATTGTACATTTATTTTTATAATTTCTAGATGAGCGCATACTTCATCTTGCAAATATATACCTAAAAATGGTTGCACATGATTTATAGTTATTGGCTATTTTATAGGTAAACCGTTAATTCAACCTTGTAATATTGTCTCATAAATAAAATTTCCCACTGATGTATTTAGAATAATCGAATACCAGGTCATCTTAATTCGAATTTGGGAATGCAAATTCAAGGAATACAATAAGTGCGAGGAATAAATTTGAAAATGTGGTTGTAAGGCTAGAACCAGTGGCGTTGTATCCATCCCCGCGGTCGCGGGAGGGCCCACAGCGCAAAAGGGGCCCAAGCTGTTAGAATTTAGAAATTTAAGCCGCAAAACCAAAAGTTGCCGTGCAAAACCAGTAATGCGCATCCTATAACGTCGATGTTAAGCTCAAATCGTTTTGCTACGTGACAATGCCAGGGAGTCGTCGATCTTCGGCGTCTTGTGGTTCGATCGCACCGGCAAAATTACGAAGGCTGTCAGAATGTCATGTCGAAAGCAAAACCTCTCAGTGGCGCACAGAAAAAGGGCAGAAGAAGAAGCACGTATTTGAAAAAAATTAAAGTAACCAAGATAAACGGCAAATTTTAGATTACCCTTGCCTTTTAATAGGAACATGTTATGCTTTTTGACGAAATAAAAAAATGCGTTGTTTTAGCTTATGTCCGAGAGTTTTAAGGGTCATTGCCACGAACTATTTTTGCGGGGGGCCGACGAGAGTCTTGCTACGCCACTGGCTAGAACAATATATCATAATAACTATTTTATTTGCACTCAAACTTCTGTTTGTGTATAAGTGTATAATTTCATAAATCTGGGACGCTTTGAACAAAAGTTATGTTTTCTCTCGAATATATTCCAAATTTCCTTCTTGGCATTCGAGTCACACTTTTCAATCACTTACTTGATTTTCTACTGGAGAGCACATTCTGCTATCAGGACATGCTAATAGCATGTTTCATAGCGCAATAACATGTTTACTGGGGCACAGCACCTGCGAAGGAAGTCATAAAGAGACCATTACACTTAGTAAGGTACAAGGCATTGGTCATTTCCAAACGTTGCATAATCGGTCTACCGAAAACTGTGATATATGTGTTGTTTTCATTATGTTTTCTGGTTTGACGAAAAATAAATTCTCTTTCTCCTTAGATTTTTATATATATGGGTATTCGAAGGACAGTGTGTATCCCCAAAGAGAGAAGCGTGCGCGAATGATCGACATTTTTGCCCAACAGATGCAAACTCGTTTCCACCGCTTAAGAGGGCAATTAGAACATATTCTAGACCTAACTTTCTGTCCATCGGTACCCATTGAGCAATTTGTAATCCGCTCGTGTACCTCCAAAATTGTACTGTGAACGGACAAAATAAGTCATTCGAAAGTAGACTTGTTAGTTGCTATAGCTGTAGTTACAGCTTATACTTTAATGTAAATGTGGAGTTCTTAAACTCAGGTGTTTAAATTATAAGGTTATGTTATGCGACCGCAGTCGAACATTTGCTATGGTTATCTTTCTCCAACTTTCCCTGTTCTCCATTACACTGGCAAGATTCTTCATTGGTATTCCCGTGTCCTGTTCAAGCTGAAAAATATATGTACGTTGTTGTCCACCCACGCTTCTTTTCCCATGTTTTGGTTCCCATGGGATCAGTTCATGTACGATTTTTTTCTTGTTTCTATAGCAGTGTCCGCTGAATCTTAGGCGCCTTTCCTTTATTATGGTTGTAATGCTTGGTAATTTACTGTAAAGTCTTTTGTTTGGGATCTTGTCCTGCCATGTTACTCTTTTAACTACTCTAAGCTTTTGTGTGGCCACCGTCTAGCTTCTTGCTTGCTGCCTTTGTGAGTGTCCATGTTTCCGATCCATATGAGAGACACGTTTTTACTGCAGCTGTAAAAACTTTATCTTCAGTTTCCCTTCAATCCCGATTTCCAATTTTTTTTCTAGTTTGGATAGTTCTGACCAGGCCATGCCAATTCTGGTATTTATATCCTTTGAGCAGGTATTTACCCATCCTCCCAAATATCGAAAGTCCTCTACTTGGTTCAGCTCATCTTCACCTGCGTTTTCAATTCTCCATTGTCCCGATTGAAGAGCACGATTCCGTTTATGTATTCTGTTGAGTCCTATTTACCTTGCTGCTTGTTCTAGTCCTGTTAGTAGTGTTTACGCTTGGTTTAGGTTGTTTGTCATTAATGCCAAGTCATCCGCAAAAACAGCATCGCAAATTACTTTTGATGGGTGTCGCCTGCTCCTAGCTCTATCGAGGATAAATCCCGGGTTTTGTTCCTCTTCAGTTGTTTGTCTCATGACCTAGTCTTCTAAAGCAATTATAAAGAGATATGGCGCTAAGGTGTCTCCTTGTAGTATTCATGCTAGTATTTCAAAAGACTCAGTGTTGAGTCCGGAGATATGACTTGAGCTGTAGTGTGCATGTATAGCATGTAGCGGTGACTATTTTGGGAGGGGTTCCGTATGCCGTCAGTATCTCCATTAGCTTTCCTCGATGTAGAGTCAAAGGCTTTGCTGAAATCGACAAACGTGAGAATTGCTGGAAGATTCTTAGTCTTTATTCCTTTTATAGGTCTTCGTAGTGTGGGTATTTGGGCCAATGTTGATCTGTTCAGTCTAAATCGGTTTTGATTAATTCTCAACTTACTAAATTATTACCAGGTGATAAAATTTTAAGGCATATTAGAAGTTATGGAAAGAATATCCTCATACCTAATCTACTTCTTGAAAATTTGTACCCCACCTTGGGAGCCCCTGTTATAGAGCAAAGCAACATCCGGCCCGTGAAACCTATTTACGTGGCCCGCGGTTAATTATGAATGGCGAAAGTGAATGGCACGCCTTTGTTCTAGCTAAATAAAACATAAATTTTTTGCAAAACGACCCAGATTTCTGAAACTTTTGAGTACAATCATACACAAACAAGAGTTCAGGTGTAGATAAAATTAAAGAATTCACTACATTTTCGTAGAGTTAAATAAAATAATTTATTGGTTCTGTTTTTTTTTGAGTCACCTTGTAGTTATATACAAAAACATTTTCGATGTTTAAATAGGTGATAGCCCGGAAAATTACACATTGACATACAATAAGAGCCAAACCATGTTATTACGAGGATAATAAACTAAATGAACTATCAAATTTACTACACACAATATCAGAATATAGTTTAATTAAAAAAAAATGACTTGAAACAAGTTTTAATTTGAGTTATGCAGCACAACGTGAACATCGTTCTCATCACTTATGCTGAATTTCAAATATATACTTGAATGTAGTTAAGAGGACCGCGGGCTCAAAGAATATGTACTGGAAATAAACACATAATGAATCGATATAGCCTACACCATGATTTTAAAATATACTAATTATGGAAATGTATAGCAGCAATAGTTATGACATCCAAGAAATCATGAAGGTAATACATTAATTAACACAAGAAAAATATTTAATACTGAACGGTTTTTGTTAAAAACCTTTTAGAACGAAATGGCACAACGAACGGCCAGCCAACCAATCGGAAATAAACCTATAAATAATGGAAGTAGCAACTAGTTCAGCGTGTTTGTGGATATATATATCACTTTGTAGACAGATAGCTGAAATAAACCAAACGGGCGATAAGCGAACCCGGACAATACCACGACTGCGAATGTCACACCCCGCGCTTGCGAAACCGCCGCATTTCGAAGCTGCCGACGCCGCGGGCAATTTACCTCACTGTGCTCGTTCATGCATAATATAATTGGAAAGCTATCAATATTACTTCTGTTGTTTTTTTTTTCTTTTTTTTTATAATGTGAGGCAGCATATAATATTCGATGATTTTTTATGACTAACAATTTAATATATGCGCAAGTTTTTTTAGTTACGTATGCCCGATAAAGTAAAAAATATCCTTTCTTCCTGAGATGACGTCATATCCAGACGTCTGATCACGTGACATAGGCGTAAGAGCCAGCAAGCGGCTGAGAAAATTTTGGCGATCATTTTGCGAGGTAGCGTCCTTGATCGCCACCATGTCGCAAGCTGTGGATTCTCTTGGGGTCGCTAGAGATGGTTCAGAAAACGAAAACTCTTCCACATTGGTTGCTGTCGGTGAAGCGGATACTGTAAAAGATGCAGGGGGTGACTCTTTGTCTAAGGGGAAATTGCAGAAAACCGCCCCAGCCGGCGAAGAACTCGGCGACATCGTTGCCGAGATCACAGAAGGCCAGGGCAATTCTGAGTTGACCCAGCAAATTGAACAACATGGCGTCGATGCCCAAACTACCCCACTATTGCAGGAATCTGCCCAAGAGGAGCAAGATGCAAGTGAAGAAGCAGAAGCCACTACAACTGTTCAATTCATAGCTGTTTCAGCAGAAGAACATCAACGTATGGTGAATTCTGGGGAGTTACCTGTGTCTGTTCAAGGCGCAGATGTTCACATGCAAATTCCTGGTGCTGAAGCACAACAAGTTCGGTTGATTGCAGTTGACAGCAATGGGGTCCCTGTCACAGAAACAGCAATTCTTCAAGCTGCTGCTGAACAAGCAGGAATTGTATTTATTACGAAGGATGACAAGAACCAGGATGTACAGATCACAATAGATGAAGCGATGAAATTATCTGAAGGTGGAAGTGGTGCTCGACATATAATTACTGCCACGACTGCAGCAGCTTTACTTGAGCAGCAAAATAAACCTGCGAAAGGCGAAAATACACAAAATTTCAAGGATGAAGGAGGAAATGAATCCGATGATGAAAATGATGGTCAGTCATCTAAACCAGCTCTACAAATCCGTGTGTACAGTCAACGGGATTCACAACCGAATGATGAAATGGGCTTTGTGTCATCTGGCACTTCAAATGTCACTTCTGGTGTGGTTACAGTGAATGTGCAAGATGGTTATACAACTAATGCAGCTTTGATTACTGTCCAAACTGGCGAAATTGCTGATGATTCTGTTTATGAATTTCAAGAGCCACCAACTGGGAAAGATGTTGAGGATTCTACAGAAAAGATGGCAATCATTGATTCATCGATGTTCAAAAAAGCTGGGCCTCGTCGCACAGCGGATAAGACCAGAGATCGTCGCAAGATTTTCCAATGCAAGGAATGCGCTTTTTATAGTCATCGACACAGTAATTTAATCCGTCATACTAAAATTCATACAGATGAGAGACCTTATCAATGCCACCTGTGCGAGCGTGCTTTTCGTACAAATACATTGCTCAGGAATCATATCAATACTCATACTGGTGTGAAACCATATAAATGTGCTGAACCAGATTGTGTAATGGCCTTCGTTACTAGCGGCGAATTGACGAGACATATTCGGTATCGTCATACACATGAAAAACCTTTCAAGTGTACATTGTGTGATTATGCTAGTGTGGAAATTAGTAAATTGCGTCGTCACTTCCGATCACATACTGGAGAACGCCCATACTCTTGTGATGAATGTGGAAAAGCTTTTGCTGATAGTTTTCATCTGAAGCGTCACAGGATGTCTCACACTGGTGAAAAGCCCTATGAATGTCCAGAGTGCAATCAACGTTTTACCCAACGTGGTAGTGTTAAGATGCATATCATGCAGCAGCACCTAAAAACCGCCCCTAAATTTGCTTGTGAAATTTGCCACACCCTTCTGGGCCGCAAGAGTGATTTAAATGTGCATATGCGTAAACAACATGCCTACCAAGCAACACCCATTCAATGTAGATATTGTGGTGAGTTGTTCCACGATCGTTGGAGTCTCACGAAGCATCAGAAAACTCATAGAAGTTATGGTGGTGCTCGTCAAAACCAAAATGGCAACACACAGACTAGAAAAAGACAGTGGACCGATGATAATGCTGAAGGTGAAACTCAAGCTAAAATTCCATTGGCTGGTGAGAAACCAAGGACTAGAAGTAGACAAACTGTCACTGTATTTGTTGAAAATGATGAAGAGGATTCTGGAGAAGAAGAAGAGCAAGGAGAAATGTTATTGCTAACAGAACAAGATCAAGGAGAAGAATCTTCTTCAATGGTTATGATGTCAGGACAGGACCAAACCACACACAGAGAGATGCTGGATATCGATTCAGAGCCAGTGCTGATGATGCAGACAGAGCCAAATGAAACCATTGGGGACATGTCACCGATGGTAATGAGTGGCGAAACTGATCCATCTGATGACCAAGTCACTGCTTTAGTTATGTCTGGAGATCTCCATCAACAAGGAGCGGTGGTGGTTACAAGTGTGTCAGAGGGGGCTGATAATCATGTGACTGCAGTACTCAGCGAATCAGGAGAAATTGTTCATCTTGTTGATAGCACAATGGTGCAAAGCTTACAGGAAGCCCATCAGCAGCAAATAGAAGAGCAGGGTGATGATGAAGAAAATAAACTTCAAATTGCAGATGGGGAAGGAGATGCAGCCAGCATAGCTGTAAGTCAGACTCAAGATTGATTGTCAAACACTGAAAGAGCTATGACTGAGAGACATCTATTCAGTTTCGCTGCTGCTGCCCAGATTCTTTTGACTGTTTTATATGACTTTTGCGATTGTCCCTGATTACTAGGCACAAGTCTCATATGAGCTGTGTAACTACTTCATTGTTGCTCTGTTTTAGGACCTATAAAGCTGATATCTTATTTGTAAGCTGTGAAGCTCTACTCTACCCCTTCCCCATTTTCATATTGAAGAGTTATAGGTAATACTAATAACATAACATTTTAAAACTGGACTTTTATTCTACAAATTACTCTTAATGCATTAGTCATGTTGTTTCTCTATACATCAGAAACTGTTGTAGAAGTACCAGCATATTTAGCAAATTTTTAGTTTTTGTTGAATTGAAGTTATGGTAGTTGATTTACGTAAATGCAAATGTTCAAATTTACAGTCAAATATTGGTATAGATTGTGTGCTCAACTGATGATATTCCTCAACATGATTGATTGCTTACCTCAACATGATTGATTGCTTACTTGGCATGTTACTCTATGATATCAGAAATTTTGTCATTATTAAATCTAAAAGCTAGTGTAAAGTAACCATACTTTTCAGTGTATGAATAAACTGTTGTAAGAGTCTGTTGTTTTATATGTTAAAGGATTTTTTCATTTTCAGATTGCTGCTTATACCTAAACAATGAAATACTCCCAGTTAGTGAATTTATCATTGTAAATTGTGTTTGGGCCATGTTGAACTGTTTTTCAAACAGATCAAGGTTTTTACTGTAAAGCTTTTATATTTTAGCAAGCGCTCTTGTGTTTTCCTCTTTGTATCGTTCATTAACTAACTGGTTGCTTCTGGTTAAAGTAGTACTGGTTTAGTATGGTAGTTCTTTTTAAAGTAAATAATTCATGAAAAATGGTAATTTTACCAAACTTTCTCCTCATTCGTTGCTTCTTTATTGATATGTGTAATCATCATTAGGTTTGAATGAATAAACTTTGGAGTTATATCTTTGAATGTTAATTATTGACAGAAAATGCTAAAGATAATAGTGTTAGAACAGCTATGTGACTGCGTTGATTATTATCTTCTATGAGAAACATCAGATGTTTCACACAATTGGATCATTGGTGATATAGATCTGACTGAATGGAGCATTGAGAATTATAGTCCAATCGTTTTATGCTTTCCGCACTCTCTAATTGGAGATGTAAGGTTTCCCATATTGCAAATTAGTTAGATTTTGAAAGAACCTTGTGGTTTTAATGTCAAAATGAAAACAAAGTTTCCCTCAATCCAAATTCTTAGAATGGTAAAGGTTATATAATAAATAGAAAAAATGTCCGATGCAACCAAATTTGTAAATACACCCCACATTTGGAGTAGAAGTATTATAAAATTTCATTTTAGATAGCTTAGGTCTGTAAAAATAGAGATTCTTAGTTTGACCCCGTGACCAATTGAGTGATTGGGCTGTTAGTACAAATCATTGGTAACAAAGCAGCCATTCAGTGCTAGTGGAATATTCTCACACATCCTAAAAGATGGGTAAAATCGAGGAAATGATATTCTATTGTGGAATATCATTGTTGATGACAGCAACTTTTGGCCTGATGTTGCCTTTTCTAATTCTTCAAATATCAACTGCTACAGGCTTCACTGGTGATCACACAATAGGTAAGGAATTTGAGGGTGAATTCTATTAGTATTGTTGGAATATAGGTTTTACTTACAAAAAACAACTATAATTCTAAACACTTCAAGTTAACTGAGATTGTTCTTCAAACTCCTTTCTCAGACATATCTGTATATATGCAAGTACAAGTTTGGCACTTCTGTATTTCTAGATTCCAGAAATTTTTCAAAGAAGTGAGAGTCAATAGTTGTCTGTAAATTGCCCATTCGCCATATCTATTTCCCTATTCCTTGCAAGCAAGCTATTCATGATTATGTTATTATGAGAATTTTCTTCATATTATCTTGAGGTGTATCATGGGTCTATCTGTCATGTGTTTTCATCTTCTGCATGGTTTTACAATGGATACCAAGAGGCAGGTTGAATCCTAAAGGAAAAGCTGTTTTTATCACAGGGTGTGATACAGGATTTGGTTTTCTGTTGGCGAAACAACTTGATGCATTGGGAATGTATGTGTTTGCAGGTATCATCTGAAGCTTATTAATATTTTCAAGATAAATCAAATTTTTAGGGGTTTTCTGCTAAATTTGTGAGCTTGCAATGGGACGATTTGTTCAATTTTTGGGGCTCCTGAAGTATGCGAACCAAGATGGCGGACATCGGAATGTAATATGTGTACTAGGTTAGGGTTAGGCCATAATTTTAGGTATAAATACTACGGGAGGCTCTTGGCTAGTCTTCGAACTGATAATAGGACTAAGATAAGGAAAATTGGAAAAAAATTATGGCCTAACCTGTTACCCATGTTACGTTCCGATGTCCGCCATCTTGGTTCGCATACTTCGGGAGCGCCCAATTTTTCTAGAAGAATATAATATATTTCAAATAAGAATGTGTCTTTAACAGACATCGAATAGATAGTTTCAAATTGACCTCTTCATAAGCAGCCAAAAAGGAGAAACATTGCATACATGCGCGAACAAACATATGGCAAAGTATGGCATTTCATTGATTTCCATTTGGGTGACTATCTTGATCATCTTACAATTAAGGTTGTTACTTGAAAGATAAGGGTGGAGATGGAGTAAAGCATTTGGAAAAAACAGGTTCAGATCGATTAAAAGTTGTGCAACTCGATGTGTCTGATGAGGAGAGTGTGAAAAAGGCTGTTAAATTTATTGAGGACAATCTTCCTTCTGGACAAAAAGGTGTTATAAGAATATTCAATAAAATTTATTATAATATGTTATAATACTTAGATTTGTACTATTTGCAACTAAAATGATACACTATTTACTATATAGCATTAATGTCCTTATTCAGGTCTTTGGGGAGTTGTGAATAATGCTGGAACATCAGCATTTGGTGATATCGAGTGGTCATCAATTGAGCTATATAAAAGGGTTGCTGAAGTCAATCTATGGGGAGTTATCAGGGTCACAAAGGCTTGTTTACCAATGATAAGAAGGTGAGATCATTTATTATGAGGGCAGTACGGTAATTCTCAATACATCTGAGGTTCAAATTCTGTGCCCACTGCCTTACTCAGGGTGTAATAAATTGGGTAGGCGATGCCGAGCTAGAGAGATTTGAGTCCTTGCATATCATCAGATCTCAATGGCTGCTTGTTCCTAGCGAATATCCTGGAAAAATGTCAGATAAAAAATACTGTGACAGAGTCATCTTCAATTTCTACTGTGACTGCTCCATTAGAAAGCAAAATATATGCCAACTTGAGTTATAGATTTATAATTTCCTATAAATGATTAATGAAAACTTTATTATGAGCAATAAAGTTGTTGAATTCCTGGTTTTCATTGGGGTAGTAAGTTGCAAATTACTTGAAACTGAGTTCTTTGATTGTCAGTGACACTGCAGAACTCTGCTTCTTTTTTTTACCTATTATCTGCATTTTGAAGTGCGAGGAGTTGTTTTTGCTTTGGGGTCAAATGAACTGCTATCGTCTATTATTATGCTTGTAATCTAACATAAATTATTTTTAGTATATGATGAGGTTTTATTAACAATGTATTTATCATTCAGGGCTAAAGGAAGAGTTGTGAATATGGCAAGTGGTCTGTCACGTATCACTGCTGCATCAAGATCTGTATACTGTGTGTCCAAATATGGAGTTCAGTGTTTTTCAGATTGCCTGCGATATGAAATGAGACAATGGGGAGTAAAGGTGATTTGATAATATTTACAAAATCTCATCCATCTTTTCATTGCCAAGATTTTATTCTGTTCACTCCAAGAATTATTTATATTAAGTGCTGAATCCGTAGTCCATGGTATTCTACTTTATTTTGACGAAAATTTGCTTTCCACAACATTAATTTAATTACCGGTAACAAAAGGAATGTGGCATCCTGTGGCTACTTTTCATAGTCTTGTTAATAGTATTCATTTTTGAAAGCCTCGTTCTTGGAGGTTTTATTATTTTTGGAGACTTCATATATATTAGCAACATTAGATAATGTACTAATTCCAAATTACTGGCCAGGTATCAATCATAGAACCAGGAAACTACATTGCTGGCACGAATATCTTCACTAAACAATCTGTTGCTGCTTTGGGTGATAGAATGTGGGGTGAAATGTCTGAAACAGCTAAGGCAGATTATGGAAGAGAATATTTTGATAGAAAGGTAATAACAAATTTTTATGACGTCCTATAAGGCTAATCATACAATCATTTTATGGATGCTACCGATTTAACCTGTCTATATGCATTTCATTATTAAGACAATTTGATTTTCAGCCTAATTTTTATTTTTGTCCATGTTCATCAACTAAACGTTACCACAACAGCTACCAGGTTTGGCATAGTCAAACAATCTTTCATAAGCCATCAATTTATTTTAAGGTAAATGAAATGGTAGGATACTGCAATGCTGGTGTGAAAGACCTCACTCCTGTTACTGATGCCTATGAAGATGCATTATTATCAAAACACCCTTTCATTCGCTACAATCCCATGACTCCATATTGGAGAATCCGGCTGTTCATAATGTCAATACTTCCCACGCCCATTGGTGATTAGTAAGTATCATGCTTATGTTCTCAAATTAGAATTTTCACCAATGTTCTTAAAAACTGCTTTGTCTGAAACTATTGAACTGTGGAATAAAACCATGGTTCTAGATTGGGATCTGTTCACTGTTGTTGAAAAATATTATGCCAATCATGTAATACTCATCATGTAAACAATACATTGTTTAATTACACACTTCTTAGTTTGCTATTGCAATCACAGCAGTTCCCGAAGTTCCTATAAAAAATGAAGTAAAATCTAGTTTGATTCATTTTGATCAGTAATTTTATAAATTGGCATTAGTATTTAAAGTTGAGTTTGATTTAATAAAAAAATTTTACATTCAAGTCATTTATTTATTGGCATAAAAGTATGCCTTATTTATATAATATTGATTTATCAATTGCAGCATGTATATCTACAAAGATTCACAAACCATCAATTCATCCAAATTCAACTGATTTGGAGACATGGAGCGTTATTTTGGCCTGGTAATTTAATTAGAATATCGATGTGAATCAAACTTTGCACTCATTGTACCATATGGGTACTCCTGAAGTATGCGCACCAAGATGTCGCACAACCATCTTGGTGCGCATACTTCAGGAGGTCCATCATATGTTTATATATATATAATATCAGCAATAAAATCGTTCATGTGTTCACTGATTTTATCTTTGCTCGGCATGATTTCAGTTTCTTTCATATGGAACAAAGTTTTTATCCAGACCTTTTTATCATGCATTGTTTGTTGTAAATACAAATTAAACCAGTGTGGTGTTTACTATATAGCATTCTTTAATAAATATAACCATCTACATTGTCAAAGTTGTTATATGATTATCAAAGTTCAATATTTTATCTAATCATTTGTGCTATGCATTCATTGTACGGATATATAATTCGGGCCAATAAAATGGTAATTAATAGTTTTGTGTATGATTCAATTATTTTGGGGTATTTAACTGGCATATCAGGTGTCATCCACATCCTACGTTTGAAAAAAGCCATAAATAAATATCTGTAGCAAAGACCCGACTACAACAAAACGCTTCTGCCAGAATACTAAACTGTATACCCACATCTTTTAGTTGCCATATGGTAGTTCATGTAACCGCTGGTCAGTTACGGCTTCCTCCACAAGTGCATGCATCAGAATCAGAAACATTTATTTTATAATTGGCCAACTAATCTCATACATTGATAACCAGACGGAGAGGATGCAGTCAACCAGTCCTATCAACTTTCCTTTCCCCCGAAATAAATATTAAAATCTTATCTCATGAAGGATTGCTTACCTTTAAATAAACAGCAACCCGATTAGTCCTGAATGTGGCATAAAATAATGACGCAAATTTCTTATAACTGATTTTATTTCTTCTCCATGTTCCCGTAAAACAACACAAGAGAAACCTTACTCATAAATAATAATCGACATAACTATTTATAACTCACAGTGAAAATAAAGAATGAACCTTAGATGACACATCTTAAAAATCATTGAATATTGTGCATAGGGCCAAATTGTTCATGAAGCCGCAAGAAATTTTTTATTAATTCATGACAAAACAAACCCAATGTTTATTTACCTTGATCACCAACAAGCTCTGATGGAAATGAGGTTTCAAAGGTTATCGAAACATTGGAGTGAACAATGCACGATTACATATGTGTGAATAACATCCAGTAATTACCGGTATGTATTTTATATCAATCTTGATTCTGACATATATGAGGTTTTTCAAAGAAGACCAAATAACAGTATTTAATGTTTTATGAAGATTTGCACAACGCAAGGTCATGTTCACTCTTTCAGACATAAAAGAAATTGGTCTCTGAGCAAAGTCACGCCACTGAAATTATTTCCGTCAAAGTAAATTTTTTGGACATTCTACACAATATTAATTCATGGTCCAACAATAAGTATTGCAAAGGCAAATAGATGCCAATAATGAAGAAATGTAAGGAATGAAAGAAAGATGACAAAATAATACATTGAAGATATCGTTTGCATCCCACAGAAAATAAAAGTAAAGTACGACCAATTATGCAAAAAGCGCCATATCAAACACAATATCTATCTATTTTTTGGTAATGACTTTGAAAATCGTTTTAATAATGCTATTATAAACTTCTCAATCAGTTTTGCCAAAAACTGTCAAGAAGCATGAAAACTTGTATTTGTTACAGTAGAATTCAACACCACAAAAATCATCATGGATTCACGATATCAAAGATGATAAGCACTATAAGAGGACTGATATAGGAAAGTATTTTTAACATTGACTGTCGAATTATTTCGATATAAACAAAAGCACTTCATCACGGATTGAACAGACGGTATTGAACAATGTTGTAAGAGCATTGCAATTTCAACAAAAAAGCATCAACCTGCCCAGAGCACACGTTACAATTCTCATATTGTATCATAACCGGTTGACAAACCCTACAGCTACAGTTACCATTCAGGTAGACAACAGCCTACAAATAACTGAGTATCAGAAACCAAGTCCATGCCTGATTCTATTCAAAAAAAGTGGGTACTCTCATAATGTGTGAACCAAGATGGCGGAAACCGGAATGTAGTATGTGTACCAGGTAAGGCCATAATTTTATTCCAATTTTCCTTATTTTAGTTCTATTACGAGTTTGGGGACTAACCAAGTGACTCTCGTAGTATTTGCACCTGAAATTATGGCCTAACGTGGTGCACATACTACGTTCCGGTGTCCGCCATCTTGGTTCACATACTTCGGGAGGACCGAAAAGTGTCACAAAATGAGCCCTTGTGTGTATTCCAGTCTATTTTTATAATAATATTTGCTCAATGTATGGTCCACGCACTCAGAAGTAAAGTAGACTGAAGTTACAGTCTGTTGTAAATGTTAATCGTTGAGAATACTACTTCCAAATCCTTGGATTTCCAATGTATCCCTTTCTATCTCAATGAAAAATGGTCAATAAACTGACATCATTCATGCATTGCATAAGAATTATTTTCATAACAATCATACCCAATCATGCTGCCTCCTTGATTGTCATGATCGCATTATAAATTTTCACAGCAGGACCAAGCTTTATTTTGAGAATTCGCAGCATATCGGATTGTGTTAACATTAGCATAGCTTCACCATCTATTTCTTCACGCATAAAAATTTGTTCGTATATTTGTTGGCTTGTAAGATTCCTGATGAATCTCGCAACATCTTCGATTGTCCACTTTGAAACAACTTGAGCTGTATTACCTCGGCTTCCTGTAAGAATTTATTTAGTTAAGTCTTAATCATTGAAGACTGTAGTGTCTGGCAACATATTCGTCATTATACCTTTTTTTATTATGATGAACAGGTAGTGAGCGTTCAAACCACTTTCAAAATGATCTGTGCACAAAGTGTTTGCTATATGGGCAGGATTAACTATAGCAAATGAATACTAGTGCGACTTTTTTGACTGAATACCTCCAGCTAATGCTCAGAGTCAATAGGACAAAAAAATCTTGACCATTGATATTTAGAGAATTTTGCGTATTAAAATTTGTGCTTAAACTAGATTTTCATTTTTTCCCGCTACGCTTCTACAAGTCTTTCACTCTCAACAAGGCTCAGTACAAGCAGCTACATATATCTAACGATTAGCTATTATTTTTGGAAGAACCAGAAGCTTATTACACCATGGGTGAACTGGTGTGCATAGGATTAGAACCCGATATGTATAATCTGCAATGCAAACGCAGATAACATTCAACACTTTAACCGCTAGATTCATAAATCAGAAAGTGCTCAAGATAGTTATATGAGTAATATATTTAAAGGCTCACTTTCATGTTGGAAAGAGTCCTCGGAATTCTCTTTCAACTTTTTTTTACTGGGTGATGTAAGATGATTCTGATCGCTATTGCTGAGACGTTTACGAGTCAGGACTAAAAAAAGAGGAGAGTTAATATAAATGGCCACAGTATCAGTGGTATAGTAATTATCACAGATTATATGTGTACGGGTAAAGTTGTTCTATAGTAAACAGTAACAAATTACTTGTTCACCTATTAGCCTTATTTTATTCATTTCTTTAAATTTATTAATTCCAATGTTAAATCAAAATTAATTTAATAATATTTCAAAAACGTAAAATTATTACAATTAGCTAATTTTACCTTTTCCAGTCTTATGCGTAATCACTTGTTCTTCTATATAATCTGGATCTCCATCATTGCTAAAATGAAGAATTCACATTGGATTAACAGGGATATTAACAATCATTAATGGCAGAGAACAAATTGTCACAGAGGAGTTTCTACCCCAATGGTGTCATATGTTGGAGCATAGTGAAAATCATCAGGAATGAGATAGTCACCATTACGATAAATATAGAGCATTGGTGCATCGACTTTGCGGGTATCTGAATACCAGATCTAAACTTATGGACTGTAGCTGAAGGGAAGGAAGGGTCATACAATCAAATATGATTCTTGTGAAATTTAAAAAAATACAGTGTTGTGCATTAATACCAAGAACAAAAACATAAACATTGTCACATTGGAATTATAAATAAAAACCTGAAGCAAGTGTCATTTTTCACAGTTTTGAACGATTCACAGTTACCGGTACTTAACAATCAACAATCATCCACTTAATCACAGAATTTCAACATACTTTATAGAATTATTCTCATCTGTTATCATATGAGCACTTCTTCGAGGCTTGTGTACAGCGAGACGATCCTAAGAGAAGTAAATCATTGATAAAAAGAGAGATCACAATTCTTGAGCAAACTAAATTGACTTGTCATCGGGGTCGCATTAATTTCATTCAAAAGCAGAAAAATTTAAATAATGGGTGGCGATGTCTAAAAATTTACACATTCAAAGCTTAAACTATTAAAAAAAAGAAGGTTTTCAAAAATTCGGACAATCAAAGCTACTGGGTTTTTTATGTAAAATTAGCTATTTTTGCCATAAAATCATGATTTTACTCCAAACAATTTAACTCTAGAGCAGTAGTTCTTAACGTTTTTCCCGATATGCCTCTAAGGATGGGTCTAATCTTTTGTGCCACATATTTTTCGGCAAGACATAAATGCCATTTTGGGGTTAAACCACTGCTCTATAAATTAGATAAATCGAAATAAAACAATTGAAATTGAAAAAAAAATATAAGGGAGAATTGTGAATAACTGTTTTGATTTTTACATAAATAAGAAAAGCTTATTAACAATAAGTAGTATGACAAAAGAAAAGTTCAACTAGTTATAACTTACTTTTAAGACTTCTTTTGTTAGATTTTGTGGTGAATACGGACATCCAAACTCACTGTAATGTGTCATGTACTTAGCACCTTTGATATGTCCAAGGCCTGCACATCCTGGGATTGGACAACCACTAGTTTGCCTGTAATATAATAATTCATAAGATAGAGCAAAACGGAATTTATTTTCAATTTTTTGAAATCTGCAAGACTAAAAATCTATAACGAGGTGCATTGATCAGAATAGAAATCAGAATGAGAATAGATAACTATATACACATTTGAACAATAGAAAATGGCTCAACTGGCTAGCAATTTCGTAATTGGGGAGTAAAGCAATGGTGTGGCGAGAAACATATCAAGCACAAAATTTGAAGCTGCGAACTCATCTATAGTATTCACACTGGTGCAATGGACAGCTTATTTCTAAACTTTAGCATGATGCACCAATAATTAGACTTGCATCGTCATGGCTTATTTAACTTAATTAACATGATATTTAATGGGCGCTCCAGAAGTGTGTGTACCAATATGGAGGTAACTAATTTTGTTCGCCTAATTTACATCATGTTGTGTAAAAAACGGAAGCCTATGGGCAGGGGGTGTATCCACTTGGCTAACACATACAGTCCCCAAACTCGTTATAGAATTAAAATAAGGAAAATCGGAATAAAAATACGGCATAACCTTAATCTGGTACACATACTATGGGAGTACCGTTTAATGTGTTGTTGTAATTTTAATCACTGTACAATGCACACTCCAAATATACGGTAATTAACTTCTTTTTTGCAATATCTATTTGATGACTCACCATGCAGAGTCTTCCATGTCACTGAGAGATACAGGAGGTTCTATAGGATGTCCAGATTTTGCACACCAGCCAATTGGATGCAAATCTGAACTTTCTAGGTCGGTGTAGAAATCATACATGTCACTCCAACCATCAAAATGAATCTGAAAATGACATGAATATAGAAAATTCTTAGCATTGTCAGGTCAACTCGTAAACTACAAAGCCATCATAATTAATCAATATGCATACAATATGCTGTTTAAAAAATTGCAAAACTGCTTGTAATCACATTTTAAAAAGTCATTCTTAAACAATCGCAACTTAACTAGAATAGAAAAAAAGTTGTACTAATGTATATTCCTTGTGTTATGCACTTACTTTAACCCTGATATTATCAATTTCCGCAATTGAAGCAACTCTTATCAAACGTTGATTCCTTTGATCAACAGCTTCGAGTTTCATTCCTTGTTTAAACTTATTCGCAACTCCAGTGGAAAACAATTTTTCATCAACAGCTGTAGTTTGTGTTTGTGTGAGGAAGATGGACCAATCAAATTTTTGTGTTGTGTCGTAATCTGAAATATCAGTTAACAATATTTGATAAGAACTTTCTTATAGATAATGTCACTTTCCAGAATAAAATCACGTAGAAGAGATTTGGTGGCTGGACTTTTTCTTAATATGGCTTCGGTCACATGGTTTTACAAATGATGGAACACTAGTATTTTATGTAACTGCTAGTCTAGTTGTTTTCAACAAACATTCATGGTCCGTGGCCCCCTGTTCTTATAATAAAATATAAATTTTTTGCTAGTTTCTATCAGTTAATTTCTGTGGTATGTTTTGTAATAAATAAGACAAACAAAAGTGAAGAATAAATGCATTAGAGTCGAAAAATAAAATAAATCAGTCCCGGATTGGTGAAACAGTTCACTATATATTTCAACCGTATTATCGGATTGCCTGTCCCTCGAATAAATATTAAACAAAAAATAAAGTTAACCATCATTATGAGAACATTAAACGTGGATTGTCAGTGTCACAAATGTAAAGAGGAAGAAATCAAACAATAGGTTTTATATGGGAAGATCTTTGACCTTCAGCACCAACATTGGTGGTGGTTTTCAACCGAATGATGTGATGTCAATAAATTTCACTGGTAAAGTAATCATAAACCAGCAAGCATAAACTAATATTACAGTCAGTTTACCAACCAACCTTCAGGTAATAAAAGAACTTTATTATTCTTCTCGCACCATCCAGTAGAATGTATAAGTTGTGATGAAATTGGACACCAAAAATCAAATTTATTGCTCCATCCATCAAAATGAATAAGAACTTGCTCATTGATAACATCTTGCACAGTAGCAACACATATCAGATCAGGATTGTGCTTATCTACAGCTTCTAATTTCTGGCCAATTTTGAAAGTGATATCTTTGGACTTCTGGAAATAAGTAAAACATTTGTCAACAAAGTTAAAAAGTAAGGTAGTGTAATGAATAATTTAAAATAATACGAGGTAAAAGTAATTTATAGGTTGACAAAAAAACAGAACCCACGTCAATTGGAACATATTCTAGAGAGAATATACAATTCTTGTGCAAATTGTTCTAGATTATTTAAACTTCTTATACAAATAGAAATACGAGCGTTAAATAAACTTTCTTCATTTTCGTAAAATTAATTCAAAATTCATGTTTTTTTTTTGGTCACCCTATATAATTCACGATATAAGAAATTAGCTTCAACATTACATAATAATTTAAATTGAAAATTATGAAAGAGTGGTTGTTGTGTAATTGCTCAGTTATAAATTGAGGCAGAACATTGGTGGATATCAGTGCAAAAATTTTGTTCAATTTGGCATATAGATTTTACCATATTTTTTTTAAAATTATGTTAAAAACAAAATGAGATAAAGCGTTAAATGGCCGAATTTGTGAATCAGTCATCAGTATATTATTCATACTAAAATTTGAGGGGATTTCCTGTGGCCATTTCCACATTGTCATGGCAAGATGATTTGATTAATCACCCATTTAGAAAGCACCAATCCAAAGATACAATTGATGGAAATGGTTTCTGGTAGAAGATCTGTTTTGTTTTTTATATAATATTCTACAATTAATATTGACATAAACGAATAGCCTTTCTAAAAAAGTCACAACTCGGAAGCGCAAGCATTAACCCCTCAGAATTTCAATCATAATATATGGGCTATTACAGTGGATGTATTATTCATACAGGGTGCCCCTAAATATCAGAACCCAGGTCAATGGGCAAATATTTTAGAGAGAATGACCAGAATCATACAGCTAGCCAATCTGCTCACCGTCCGCTGTGTGGAATACTATTATCATGCTGACGATTCTACATGTTTTGCGGTTTGTTCATGTTATTTTATAGAAAGAATTATAAAACTTTTGCAGTTGAAAGTTGGTTTATGTAACTTCTGGAATGATTACTTTACTAGCTATTGCTATTCCAGGTCTGAATTATTAATCTACTGGTTGGCCTCAGTTTATCACAAGTTCAAGCCATCTTGACAGATTTTCTTTTCCCAAGCATAAAAATTATAAACTTTATCTCATCTTAATGTTGAATGAAATTGAAAACAATTATTCACTCACCGTTTCAATATCTGATATTTTTACAAAACATTCTTTGGGAGCTGGATATATTTGATGAGATTTTGCATATTCATTCCATACGAAGTTTTCAATTTTACATTCTAATAAGGGAAAATAAACAGATTAAATTTAAAAATATGATAACAAATCTTAATATATAATATAAGTACTAACTAAACCAGTGGTTCTCAAACTTTTATGATCCGATGGCCCCCCTCGAATGACCCTAAACATTTGAGGCCCCTTTCTCTTTATTTCTATTATAAACAAATTTATTTGGATATAAAAACAAAAACGTTTTCCTACCTTTTGGCGGTTGAAGTATTCTATTCGTCTCTTCACAAAACCCACAGGGAAATATAAAAGGTGAATCACAGTTTCTCCAAAAATCATAAGATTCGGAATATCCACAAAAACTCAGCCTGATGCGACATCCTCTGAGCTTGAATAAAATGACAAGGAAATATTTATTGGAAATATATTTTAAAATGAGATCTTTACGGTATCCGAGTTCAGAACTGCTGAACTGATAAAACAAGATGCTGTAAATGATCTATTCGAGAAATTCCATTATTCCACGACCAATTTCCAATATTTTAGGATAGGAAAGGTTTTTTCATAGGAAACAATTTTTCATAATTATCACAGAGAGAGGAAAGGAGAAAAGACAGCTTGATCATATGGTGGTACATGTCCTCTCGTCCAGTTACCAATCCAGGTCGGGTATGAAAAAAGGATTAGATTTTCATGCTTTCAATTTTTTTTTTGGATGCAAGAACTAATTGGACTTGACGATGCAGGAAGCCGTAATCAACCAGAGGTTTCGCAAACAACCGTACAAGAACAACTCTATTATCCCCCACAGAATCTGAACCAGCGAACCTGCATTTGGCATGATTTGCCAATGACCACCAATCAAAATTACCGGTAATCCCTATTTTTCAACTAACCTCTGCAACAAACAGTGGACAAATGAGCGACTCGTGCTCAGGATCAACTCCTTCCATTGCCATCCCTACTTGAAAAGGATTTCGAGTCAAATATGGATTTTTTCCAGAAAAATCCTCAAACGCATCTAGTGGAGCAGGAACCGCCTGCTCTTCTTCAAGATAAGTTGACCAGATGAATTTCTTTCGATTGGTTCCTGTGTGATGACAATCATTTTTCTACATTTCAATGAATCCGTACAGAATGGCATGGTGGACTGGTGGTTGTGGTGTTAGATATAACTGTGCAGGTTAAACTCTTGGATTCAAATCCCATGCCCACCATCTCACCCAGGGTGAAAAAAATTGGGTAGGCAATCACAAACGGGAAAATTTCGATACTTCTAAAATAAAGTAGTTCTCCACATATCAGTAGCTGCTCTTGCAGAGCCTTGCTCTGAGCAAAAGGTGTATAAATAAATACACAGTTTAAAAAATAAATGACATGATAGAACTACTTGGTCTCATGATAATTAAAAACATCATGGGTAAGCCAAAACAAAATTTAGATTCCCATTTCATAAAACAACTACACAGAGAGTGCTAAATATAACTTTCGACCATAAAATTTGGACCGCTCCTGCTTATTATAAAGCATCGTTTTTTAGTTTTAGATGATTTTGATACAATTTAAATACACAGCTTTACAGTTTTGTGGTACTGGTACCGATGTGCGACATTCGTGTCCATATTTGCGAGCCATTCATTGCTCTCGTATTTAATTTAATATTGCATTTGAAGTTTCGTTTATTTAATAAAATAAATTTTCTGTAATGTCCGGACCCCAGTAATTTTGAAGTTTTGTATACGGACCTTTGGTGAAAATAGTTGAGTAGCCCTGTACTATGGCATGGTTGCTGCATATGATAATACATATGACTGACAGAGGAAGAGGCAGAGTTTGTTTTATTATATCATAACAAGAAAACAATCTCGCCAGAAATGTTCAATAATATTTACTTTGCTTCATCACCCACCTTTAGGAAACTCCGGGCGTTCGAGGGACAGCTGAAGGCTCACAAGACATGTTTAGAATTCATGTAATTAAAGGCAACTAAATCATGGAATTAGATTGTACAAAATTCCATATGAATAACTCACCTCTTGTTCCATCGTAGTTTCCATTTAAAACAGCTTTTCGTTTCGGAATATCTTTATCATTCTGATTATATTCCTCTTGGTTTTCATTTGAAGCAGATGACCACCTTATTTTGATTTTTAAATCATTTTTCCTTCCTGGTGAATCGTCTTGTACTACAGTTAATATATCGTCAGTATGTAGACTTCTCTGATCTCGTTTATTATGAAGATTTTTGGCTCGTCGTTTGTTTTTCAAGTCTGCAGTAGAATATCATTTATTATGCTTACACAATCGCCAACCAAAAGTCTATGATTAGGCCTTATGGGGCGAGAAAAAAAAACCCACATTTCAGATTCTCACTACTACAATGCTGTTGGAGTTATTCACCTAGTTTGAGTAGGATAAAATAGCATATTTATAGTTCTTTCATGGTTCTATGTATAATATGTATATTGTATATTTAATACTAAAGCCATAAACATCTGATAAAGTCATAGACAACACTATCTTCTTTAAATAGGATTTTTCCATTTATTCCTATGGGGAGGAAAAGTCGATAATACGACTTAGTCATATGGCAAACCTCGTCTCTCGTCTGCTTACCCATCCATGTCGAGTATGGGAATAGAGAGTCAGATATTTGTTTCAGATGCGTGGACTTGATGGTGGAGGAAGTCATGGACTCGGTTAACACCGGTTACATAAACCACTCATAGATGGCTAAGAATTCAGCAATTCTCCAGTATATAATTAAACCTCACAGAATCTGCTTAGGGTATTCAGAGGTGAAACGGCAAGCTTATTCCTACTGCTAAGCATGATGCACCAAGAGATCTTTAGTTGAGAAAAACTAACAACTCACATTTTTTTGACACAAACATTTGATTTTCTCTTCTTCTTTTGGTTGCATTTCTGCCAACACATTGTCTACTGCAAAACCTTTTACCAGGTCGAGTAGTGTTGCCACATATTAAACATTTTCCTGTTTCTGCAGAGTCAGATCGCACAGAGACAATTTTCAAGTCACTATGTTCTGGTGAATAATCTTCATCTTTATAGGTGCTACCTAAAAAAATGAGGGAATCTTTCAATATAAAGGCTGAGGCTAAAGGTGTATGAAGAAAATTCTCATCTATTCTGAGATATTCAACTGCCCGTTTATATGAATTTGAACATTGATTCAAGATTTTAAAAATTCTGTCAAATCTCAACTTCCGGACCCCATGATAATAATATTTTAACAAACATCAATAAGTTTCATATGGAATTGGGTCCTGAATCTGGGAATTCTAAGTTTTTACTTTGAAGAATATGAAAAGTATGAGAGAATTACCAACACATTGCATATACAATTACTGGAAGACAGACATAGAATCCACTGCCCTATTTGTTACATTCCAATAATAAATATTGAAAATTACAATGTACTCTAATTTAATAATCTGTAAAAAATCCTGAATACTATTTCCCTAGTTTGATTTGTGTATACGCCATTGAGGTCATTTTAATCACTTGATCCATTACAGTTCCATATAATTAATTCAGCAGGATTTAGTTATAAATAAGCATATGTAATGGTCATGGTAATTGGATTTAGATAGGTCCTTTCCCATTTATAAATTCTAAATCCCTAAAACTGATTTCATATAATATATAATAGGAGATATACTTGATAGGAGGAAATTTGAAACACAATAGTAGAAAAAATAGGAAAAGAGAGCTCCTTACAAATCACGACAATTATCCAAGGAGTTGGATATCATTGTTCCTTAATAGCAGTGTAGCATTCAAGAATGCTTGACATCAGGGTATAATATAGCATTATACTTAATTTCTATTAAGTGACCCATATTAAATAGTGATTTTCAAAATTATAGTATAATTGGCACTCAATAGAGGTAATTATATAAGCTAAATATTAAGCCATTGACAACAAAATTATCACTATTAGCCTTAGAGCACAGGTGCTCAAATAATATATATAACAAAGACCTTTAGATCATGTGGCAATGAGAGTTAAAACCATGGAAAAATCCCTGTTCATATTATGATGTCACACATTTAAATGTTTCAGAAATACATACATAGAAACGAAGCAAAAAGTTCAACTTAGTCATACAAAACTACCCAGGAAGTAATGACTTTGCTTTCGATAAAACATTTCAAATTTAGGCTTTTGCACCGAGTTTATTGCTTGTCAAGAATATCATCCAAATCATATTTCTAATAAAACATACTTGACTGTTAGGTTTACTCTATTTACAAAGCATTTTTGTGCTTGTGCCACAGATGAAATGTGAGTTTGATACAAGAACAAGCCAAGGTGTTTACAGCATATTTTCTGGTTGCTATCTATTTTTGTAAATTCTAACTAAAACGACTTGTGGGGCAGAATTTCAGAATGACAGCCTCTTTGTTTATGGACATAGCTGGTGTTCTCAGATTCTTTATCCAAAATTCGTTTCCTTCCAAATTTTTTAACAAATTCATGTTACCGTACCTGGAGAAGGTGTAGGAGTTATTAAGCAATCGTCGTCTGTCTTCTGTAAATTTATATTAGTGTTGGCATCATCGTATAACATTGAAGCAATATCTTCATGTAAAACTGGATCAAAATCTGTTAAATTATCTTCCAAAGATGATTCACTTCTCACCGCAACATCTGCATTCTCATCCTTGGGTTGAATGTTAGATTCATTCTAAAATATAGAAGGATTTGACACAATCACTCACTCAAAAAAAGGCCAATACAAAAAGTTATATATTAGTAACGACAAAATCAATTTGCTACAAATGTCCCATGAGAATGTAAATGATAAATACAAACAGAGCTCAAACATGAATGTACACTAGAATATGGTAGAATTATGGACAACAATGAATGACAATGCTGACATTGTACAAAATTCTCAGTAATATTGTTTGTATTAGGATGAACATTTTTTTCTAATTTATCAAAAGTATAATTAAATATAGGACCTAAATAGTTTTAGAGTCTTCTTACTTTTGATTCTTATGATGACACTGGTATAATTTCATCCTTCATGAAAATTAGGCCAATAGTAATTAAGAAACTAGCATATTTCTTTTCTAAAGCTCAAAACATTTCTATCATAACACAGTTTTAATTCAAAAAATTTATTTTGGAAGAATATTCTATACATGGGTGTAATAGCCTAATCATTAGAACTGGGATCCTATTCATTCATTACCAATGCCAAGGCAGTTAGTTATACAATCATCAACAGGCATATAGAAATTGACAGACTCAAAATCTACTTTTATTTATCTAGAAAAGTTGAGATGTTTACAGAGAACCTTTGTGTGGCTAGTAAATTTAACATCTATTTACAATATTTGCTTAGACTTAAATAGTGATATTGGGAATAATATTTGGGAATATTGGGAATAATTTTTCTCTCTTTCCAACAAATATATATATAAAACTAGAAATACATATTTAATACATTCAACAATGTTTTTTCTTATTAATTACTCTAAAGTAAAAGTAAGAATATGAATATGTTACTCAAACGTCCATGCTAGAATGATATACCATATCCTTCTATTTTTATTTTCAATGAGAATTAAGTTCAAGATGTCACTGCTGAAATCAACAAATGTCTGTCTCAGATAAATCTATAATATCTGAGAAGAGGAGTCCAATATTATCAAACACATCCACCAAGATCTGAATGTGGATGTGAACTAATGCAGATTATTCAGTGGTGTGATGTCGAGTCTGTTCCAAATAGTCAATACAATAATTCAATAATATCTAATTATACCTGAGTATCTTCATCTTTATCTTCACAATTTTTATTTTCCAGATTGAGATCAGTTTCGGAAGAAATAGCTGATTTGGAATCCTTTTCTGTATTTTGTTCAACAATGTTATCAGACGATGAACCGTTTTGTTCAACAAATATGTTAGAATCGCCATTATCGTTGATAACTTCATCAGTCCTATCTGATTCTTCAACAATACTTAATTGATTTTCTGTGTCTGAGTCCGGAGCAGGAGTTCGATCAGAAGGGATAACTCCATTTTCTACTGCTTCAGCCTCATCCATTATATTAGAAACTTCATCCATTTGTACTGATTCTGTGATAACTTCAATATCTCCAAGCTCATTCACACGAAACTAGGAGAAAAGTTGAATAATGCATTAACATTAGTACCAATTATTCTAAAAAATTGTAGTACAAATTCTGTCAACGTACAAAAAAATGGCTTCACTTCTGCGTAAAGACCTTTTGTGTGACAGGTTGATTGGTACATACTGCTTGTGGAAAAATAAGATTCATTAGATATACAGATTTACTTTGATTCATTAGCAAAAATATTTTTGCTCTCATTTATTGCTGCACAGAATAACTTGAACTTAAATGACACCAGCCAAACTTATAACAGAAAATATGCCGTGGGGATATGCCTTATTCATAATAACAGACACAAAGACATGTTTAAAGTTCAAATATAATGATGACGATTATATGGTGAAAGACAACCACAATGAATTGTGGTAAGGTAATAACATTATTAAATAACAGATACTAAACAATCATATGTCTCGAGAGCTATTCGTTCATTGCCCACACTTAAAGTAGTATAAAATCCAATCCTAATTATGAAACACATATGCAATAGTAGTATAATACTCTTTAACGGCAAATACTTATTTTGCTGATTCATGTGATAATATCACATGACATTGTTAATATTCTAACAATCACTAAAATTATAACGATGACTCATACTCATGAAATAACAAAGAACTTTTCCTTCTGTAAATGTAACAATTACTACATTAAACCTTATTAAGAAGCATGAAGATAATTCAATACCTTCAAATCACTTCCAGGCAATTTACCAACACCATTTTCCCATTCCAGAGCATCATTGAGATTTTCAGTAGAATCATTTTCTTTACTGTTTTCTGCGTCATCTTTGGCTTGATCTTGCTCTTCCATATCTGAGATTCCAGGATCAACTTCTTCCTCCTGCTACAGTACAGATAGATTTATGACTTGTCACTAATAACAAAAAGAATCAAAATGCTTTCACTGGGTGATGCATGATGAGTTGTTACTAGCAATTCTTATTCGAACTTAACAAAGCAGCTGGAATTCAAAAAAGATATGAAAAATTCAAAGAGAGGAGGCAGAAAATTATCCAAACAGTATGCTGTTATAATTCTTATATTTACTTTTATTGATTATTTGTTGCTCAATCAATAAAATATATCAGCAAATAGTAATATTTAATTTGGTTTTCAGCATTGTATTTTTTGCAAAAATGAACTCTGCCTGCTCACCAACCGAAAAAATGCAATAGGTCTACTTATTTGTTTCATCCGCTAACAATTTCGAAAAAACAAAGTAAATTAAGAACAAACAGAAAGCTTTTTAAATAAAAATATATTGCTACTATAACATATTATAAGTTCCCAATGGATTATAATACAAATCTGAAGATGTGCACAGCATAAGAAGACAATAATCGCTGCAAAGTTTTCTGGTATAAATTCAGATTCTTTACACAAATTGCTTACTGCATTGCTACTTACATTACTGTATTAATATACAAAATTTGATGAAGCATTATATAGGACTACCTAGATTAAACAGTATTTCCACAGTTTTAATAACCATCTGTTCAGCATACCTTGCTTTTATCGGCCCATATCGTTGAAAGCGAATGTGGTTGATGATTTGGCGAGAAAAAACTTTCCAAATTTGGTGGATTGAACTTCATATCCATGATGGTTGAGGTATTGAAACAAAAATATCACCAAGACGCCAGTATTTATATCTGCATATAGTTAGATATAGGAAGCATAAGCAAAAACTGAAAATTGTATTCAAGTACAAAAAGACTGCCACTTAATAAGTAATTTGTTACCCTTAAATACATATTGGAAAACAAGCCATTAATATTGGTCGATTGGGTTAGAATTATTTTTATTGGAAGATTGGGGGAAGGTGCAAGGGGCCAAAATATTAGCACCTCCTGTATACTAAACAATGTCAGAATGCTGGTGGATTGGCACCCTTGTACTCATCAGTGTTCGCTGGACAGAATACAGGAATAGGATAAAGTAGATAATAAATACTGAAATACGACTTCAAAGTACACCGCTACGGTATAACGTTATGTCTTGCTAATCTGCTCGATAAAGTGTTTTATCTGCACTTTCAAATCACTTCGTATATCGATTCTTGCATGATAAAAATAAATAATTGAACCTGCTACATATGTTTGTATGTATCTCATTCTCAACTTACAAACATTGCGTAATCTTTTTAATGTCGGACATAGAAAGTGGCCGATTGCAAAGACGCAGAGAACCTCCATCCCGTGCAATACAAGTTCTCACTGCCACAAAAGATTTTTAATTGCGCTCGTTCAGTCATGGCTCGGTCGTGTTTTATAATGATTTACAGGTATCTAACAAACATCAAATGCAGTCCGAGGAAGTCTAGCATTGAATAAACAAGTCCTCGGCGTATGCAAGCGTTTTCTTTCTTAATCTCGACTAAAAAATAAAATTCTCGTCCAATTGTATAATAAGAAATTATTCACATCAGAACATTATAAAACGAAAGTATCATAAGTTGGACTCATACTGCCCTTTGGCAAAGGAATATCGCAAAGATAAAAAAAAAATAACAACACAGCTAGTATCGATAGCAATTGCCAGACCGAATAAATTATTCCTCATTTCATCAAGATACATTCCACGTGAAATTAATTAAAGAAGCTGTGTATTACGGGAATAACACATTATGATATTTCCTATTCAATAATAACGTTTTTTTACGAAGAAGACCCAAAGTAATTATCAATATATGCGCCTTCCTCTCACGCCGACTGATACAACTCCCCGCCAATATCCTTGTTTGAACCAATTCAGTTAAATGCGATAATCCTTTTTTCACATATGCCTTACGACTTTAACCCAGTACAGACATATCACACTAATCCTACCTATGCGGAAATATACGGGTTAATCTCGTATAGGCTTGCGAAATGAGACCGCCATAAAAGCCTACTTGTACGTGCTAACTGAAATTTTAAGTAGTCTGTCGAAACAATTATATTATGACTCCGAGTATTAAAACTGAAGTAAAAGAAGTAGTCTCCTAAAACTGAGCTTTTATATAGCAATCGTGCGCAAAATTTGAAGAAAAAAGAAACAAACCAAATAACATTAAAGGCAACTATCAACTCCTTTTGCAAGGAAAGACATTACTAAAACAACATTATTTTTAGTTGGAATTTCCGTAAACAGTTTTTCGTTCGTTGCTAACAAAAAGGCGTGATAAAATATCTTGAAAGATCTGCACGACCTTAATATGATTCTGCTATAAATTGTTTCAGAAATGTTGAACGACATTAACATTAATCATTCTTTATAAATATTACTTAATATTAAGTTTGATATGTTTTTCTTCAAAGAAATATTATAGCTAGCAATTTGTTAATCAAATAATTAACCAAAAATCATCGATTACACAACAGGGCTGAGCTACTTGATAAACAGTGCACCAAACTGGTGACGAAAAAAATGGTTTCTTTCGCAAAGAAAACAAAACTTACAAATTAGCCAAACATGTTACATTGAAAAAACACACCAGACCTAAACAATTCTTCAATCTGCGAAGAGTACTGTATTCACAAAACTAATTTCAAGCTGAGTTAAAGTAGGGCACAGGCAGTCAATCGATTTAAACGATTTGTTTGTCATATTTAACACAGTTTTACTGCCTGGAATAATATATCGATTGCATTTTTAGGAAAAAGATTCGAATATTGCTCTACTTATATTCCTATTTAAGTTACATACAGACTAGAACTAAGGAAACATCATTGAAATAAGCATAACGCTACAAAATCGAAGCTGTAACAGTGGGAGGGAAAACGCAACAGCGGGTAATATGACTCGACGATATCAACGGTATCGAGAATCAAGATATTTCGAAAGAGAATAAAAGAAATACCACTTCCTATGAGCGGGGTGAGAGAACAGAAAGAAACAAAATTACGCGCTTTCGGAGCATGTAAAGAGAATAACTCGGTCGCGTCACTCCCACACAGACAGACTCGATTCTATTGAAACGCGGGCAATAAACTGAAACGGCAAACAACATATGCTTGAACCATATACTGTACTTTAACATCAAATTTTGTGCTTCAGAGAATTAAGCAGATATTATGCAATTCTTTCCACAACAAATATGTAAATATATGTATGGTTAAAAGAATTACCTTTTACTAAATAGTAGTGGGGACATTCGTACTCAATATTGTACTCAATAGAGTTTCAAAAAGATACTCTGTTATGTCTATTCTGAAACAATTTTCGAAATAAAAGTATTCAAAGCAATTCTTGTTCTATCCATTTTTAGTACCAATCAATAAGTTCGATACTGTAATGTATCCGCCTACATTTGAACACAACCATTGAAAAATGAACGCACCAAAATGATTCAGATTCGGATACTGTTTTTGATTAATTTCCCGTCACCCACGAGAGCTTACAACAAATCTCATAAGCTATAAAAGATATCGATTACGCATTGAATATGTACGTTGAAGTATAAACCAAAAAAAAATAGAATTTCACCATAATCATTATTAGGGATACAGATTTAGGAAAATACAAATGTTTTTTGCTTATAAAAAATATGGTGGCCTTTGTAATTGAGGAGCAACATATTGGCAACTGGATTATTTTATTTTTTCGACTTTCCTCGGAAGTATTATGATACTAAAAGGACAAATAAAGATAAAATTTGTATTTCCAAGCCAAAGCCGAAAATATGGACTACCAGAAATACGTGATTAAACTTTTAAAAACATGGGAGAATTAACATTTAACTCGGTTGGTTACTTTACCAAGGTCCTAAAAAGATGTTAGATTTCCGGGATTCCTCCCTTACTCAACATTTCCTTGAAAAATAAAGTGGGTCATTAAATATTCCAATTACAGTACTCAAATAGAATTGCGCAAACGTTGATATTACATTTTCGCATACAATCTTGATGACAACGATCACGCTCTAGCTCTATTCCCCGGAAAGAATGAATTTTTACTTTCTTTAGAAATTTTTTACGTCTCTGTTACTATTAGAGTGTTTTCAATTTCATATACATTTGCATACTTTCTCATTTTCATCGGTATTCATTCGAGTAAGACCAACCATACAACAACATCTGGATGAAAACATATTTCTTGACATTAATAACAGACTTGTTAGGTTAGGTAGGTTAACCATAGGTTCGGCCTGAAAACACTCGGTGAGATCCTCGGATTTGAAGTTATTCTTTCAATTCATCCAACTCGCTAATAATACCAACGAATACTCATTCACATATAGTTAGGTAACACGTGTCACGCCACAACGTCTTGTTCTTCAATGCCAATAACTACTGCCGTGTCGTTGTTTGTCTTTTCACAGTCTGCCTTTAGGCTTTCTTCCGATCAAGGTAATTTTACAATTGAATTATGACAGTGTATTGTTCCGAGCTTCCCTTCCGAGTGAAACTCCCCCATCTACATAAGTGTTGAAGCAGAATAAAAAAGAGACCTAGTTTCGAAGAAACAAGTTTTTACAAAAAAATATTTTTCATAATCCATTTAACAACCATCAATATTAAGAACCACATTTCAGTTTTGTAGCATTGAAAAATCACAAGATTTTGACCAGTGTGTCGAAAATCACCTTCCACTAAGAAGGTTGTTTGTAAGTAAAACGTAACCCAATTCACATATTTTAGTTTTGCGTTTGTTAAAGTATTGAATATTCCATCGCATAATACAACACAAGTGAAATGCCGTGCGCGTTATTTACAAGAACGCAATTGTCCTATATTCACTTTGTTACGCTTCTTGTATGTTCTAAGAATTTTTTGTTGTTGTTTTTGTGGAATTTGCTCCCGCGTTGAAGGGAAATTTGTTTTTATGACGTAGTTCTTATTTCATGCAGCGAGATAAACACCACAGCTAATGTACTCAAGTGAATTCAAAATATTTGCCACTGCGTGATAACGTTATTCATTCCGATTTGCTGTTATTCAACATCACCCAAAAATACTATTTTAATCAATTTCAAATCCAATTCTTATTTAAAATTAGTCATTTTTCAAACTATCAATATTCTGCCAAAAATTAAGTAAAAAGTACAAACACGTCACTTAGGAAATAAAAAACAAGAATGTGAGTTTGTCGTCAGTCCACAGTAGCTACGAGAATTAAATTTATAATTGGTTTTGATCAATTTTGATCAACAAATAAAATTTTAATTAAATGAAAGTATGTCCTTGAAATGATCATCTTCACAAGTATGTATTATATTGTACATAAATATAGGGTAAATAAATATTTGTGCAAGGATCCCATATTCTAATAAAAAACTCTTTCCTTCACTTTTACCTACATGTTTTTAAAATCCTAATCGATTATGAGTCAATACAAAAGAGTTGTTGGACTAGCTGACGCAGCAAAAAACTTTGTAACCTTGAAATATAGTGAACCCACTTTCCACACTCTTGAACGCTATATAATAATAAGACTCAATAAATATCTTTTGCTTGTGATGTTAATATAAAGTACACGTATCAATAAAATTAAATGTTTTATTTTTTTGTTTTGCTGTGAAAACGATACATAATGAGCAACTGTAGTCATTCCATTCAACAGCAGCATGCAGACATGACGCACATGTATGCTGGGTGCGGCCTTGACTGGGAATTCTATAATTTTTGATTATGTGTTCAGACTCTTCTATAATGTTCATTTTTGAAAAAGCTGACGCAATTTTTAGATTTTCAAATTCTTGAAGTATGCGATGTTGAAACTATTTCCCCGTAAATACATTTTCTTTGTACA